TCTCTCTCTCTCTCTCTCTCTATTCTTGGTCGTATGGCGTCTCCCGCTAACAGGATCGCAGCTCTTTTGTGCGCCGCCGATATTTCCTCGCAATGATCCTAAAATAATTTGAGTAATCGAATCACGAGTCCTCGCATTCATTCGCCTTCTCCGAAAGAAGCAGCGCCCCCTATCGCCTACCCACGTGATAAGCCTCCCCGCTGATTCCCCCTTCGTTCTCACGTTCTCGATCGTACTAGTAAAATTAGGAAGATTCGGTGATAGAAGGAGAGAAAAACTCACTTGCGAATGAGACAGACGACCGTGGCGATAGCTTCAAGCAGCTTTCTGTAGCTGTAAGTAAATTGGGATGATTACGTTGAATATGAGTGCTTAGAATGATAGTTCGGTCATTGAGACAGGCGCCTGTTCATTCAGTGTACCCGCTGAGAAGTTATAGTATACGTTAGCATTGAATGAATACACCTACTTCCATTCACTCCTGGCATACACATACGCACACACACACGCACGCACGCACGCACACACACACACACACACACACACACACACACACATATATATACGTGCTTATATATTCTAACAAGAGTAGATAATAACACATGTGTTATTATCTACTCTTGATTCTAACTATCCTCATTTTAATCATTTATCCATATCATGGTGCATTTCAATAAAAAAAATACTAGAGATTGTAAACATTTTAACGTTTCAATCGCAATACAAATGACGCCGTCAAACCGTAAATGTTATATGGAGTCATACCGACAAAAAAACCGTTACCCAGATTGTCATGCGATGATGACTAGACATTCTCTTGTAAATAACTCAGTGAAACCGGTCTATAACAAATTATTGTAAGAGCTGGGAGTGACAACATGTGGATGGGAGAGACAGCTGGACCGTTTCCCATCCTATCTTAACTCCTGGGCATACAACTGATTGGGAGTAGAGTATATAAGGAAGGTACGTTGAACAGGGAAAATAGTACCGTTACCTTCAGAGAGCTTCACCAGCAATCATGAAAGCCGTTATTCTCTTCGCTCTTGTTGCCGTGGCTATGGCCCGCGCACCCGGACCCAGGCTGCCACGATGTAAGTTAAAATAACCGTAGCTTATAGACGTAAGTGTACAATTGCGCTGCATGCATAGCTTATATAGCAAGCAATCAGCGTTCACACAATAACTGTAAAGAGGTTTTTCATTTTTAGCTCATTTAACATCACTCTTATCGGATATGTGTTTGGGGATGTATTTAGTCATAGGCATAGGCCTATTATGTATTTATTACGTATTATAATATAACGTATACATATTATGTTGTTATATGTTGTACGTTATGTATGTAATTAATTATGTATAATCCGGATTTTTCGTACAAATATATTTCTGGTAAAAACACAACATGCATAGTCAGTTTAATGAGCTAAAATGTCATGATATAGCCTAATCATGCTATAATCCTGGCTAGAATGTCTCGATCCTGATATTGTCTCGACGTGTAGGCAAGTATACGCGAGCGAATGAAAACTCAAAGCAATGCCTTTTCGAGCCCATAATTATATGCGACCGCGCGTGTGTGCGTTTGCGTGTGTATACGTGTGTTTGGGCATGTGTGGGTGTGAGCGCGTGCATCGGTTCCTGTGCATGTGCGTTTACGTGTGCATGTTCCCATGTATGTGATTGTGCATGTGCGCGTACCTATGATTGTCATTGTGCAAATGAGTCCTCGTGTCTGTTCGTGAACGTGGGACAAGGGTATATACAGTTAGGAATAGTATTACTATATCAGTCACGCGGTCTGGTATTGTAAACATCATATTTCGATTATGCTAATTATTCTAATATTTACCAGATCCAGATGAACCGTCATATACCTACGGTAGGGCCTATATTCACATTATACGCACACCCGTTATTCACCTAATGATTGTGAGGACAGTCATGTTTGAAATCTTGCCACGTACTATAGTAATCTGTAACAACAATCTCGTTGAACCAATAACCATCTACTAGAGACGAATACATTTTCATCATTATGTAGAGCTGTTATCGTTGTTAGCTACATACAGGCATCGTATTCTTGTAATAAGCTAACGACGTCCGTTCAAACTGCCGCTGTGTGCGTAATGATCGCAGTCGCGTCGGGTGTTCGTCCCAGTCACCGTTAACGCCAACGCTTGTTCTTCACAGACTACGACGACAGTAAGATAGTTGATGGCACAGAGGTGGTTGCTGGGGAGGTCCCATGGCAGGTAAGCAGTAGCAACGTGCATTTAGCAGACGATGGTGGAAAACTGGAAAACCCGCCAGCCTCTGTTAAAATATGCGCATGATAACAGGATGTGTCGTTCGTACAGAAAATTATCATAACCGGAATTGACAAGTCTAGTTATATGGGACGTAGATAGATCGTGTTGCCACAGCTAGCTTCGAAAGGTTTTTGTATTTAATGTCATGGAAAACTAAATCTTGCCTGTTAGACGGCAGACGGCATGCACAAAACTCATTGATAGATCCTGCTTAATGATCGAGTTAGGTGAATAGCGGAAGAGAAACAATTAAGCATGCACGACCGCACGCACGCACGAACGCACACACGCACGCACGCGCGCACACACCATTCGTTTGCAATCACACCCCGAGTTTTGACGCACGACCGCACGCACGCACGAACGCACACACGCACGCACGCGCGCACACACCATTCGTTTGCAATCACACCCCGAGTTTTGAGCATCGTTCTACTCGGGACCGATTACTTCCCGTATAACATCGTACAAGCTAACCATGATGTAGGTCTGGAACCAAGTCATGTTACGACAATGACGACGCCACTTCGTGTTTACGTTTGGTTATGTGTTTCCAGATAATCCTGTACAGACTTGGTTCTTTCATCTGCGGTGGCAGTCTTATCAGCGACAGACATGTACTGACTGCCGCTCACTGTGTGCATCCGTAAGTGCGTCGAGACAACGTTATCATGCAACAAGCATTCGTCGCACTAACCGTTACCTCGTACACCAGCTGCAGCATTACCATATAAAATAAGATAAATATTCAAGAGCATGTGGAGTAGCTTTGCATAATAATTATAAGGAGAGCCGTAATTTGTTCGGATCGGTTTCGTAAACTATATTGTACGGGCGTACGTTCGTGCGTGAGAGCAGTCAAAGGAGCACATAAAAATGTCGTCATTTAGGCATAATATAAAACCCGTAAAAAGATACTATAGATAAATTAACCTCACGACTTATTTTCATTTCCATTGGTTTACAGATACCAGGATACCCCGGATTATTTCAGTGTTCGCCTGGGAACACTGAAGCTGACCAGTGGCGGAATAACGAGAAATGTAAGTAAACGTACGTGCTACTTGCGTAGATGCGTGCGCGTGACTGTCTGTATTATATGTGTAGAATACGTGTGCGTGCGTGCGACCGGGCGGGTGTACGTCCGCGCGAGTGCGAGTTTGTGTACAGATGTCTAGAGGAATTTTGAAGCAAACTATCTTTTACTCTAGGCAAATCGAATCCTGAGGCACGAGGCATACAGCTCCAGCGAGATCTACAATGACGTTGCGGTCATCGAGCTTGATGAGCCAGTAGTGTTCACTAGCAACGTTAAGTCCATCGCATTGGCTAGTAACGATGACAATAAGTACGCGGACTGGCCGGCTACTACATCTGGATTCGGACGCATTAGCATGAGTAAGTTATTTCTATTGGGCGTTATTTCTCTCTCTCTCTCTCTGGTGAGCACCACATCAAATGCAAGGAAATTAACATATTTTCTTTTGCATCTCATTTCGTGTTTGCGATTCATATCAATTTAAGACGATTGTTGCTAGGTAAACTGCCTGATGCGCTGACACCATGAAGCTCCTAGATGACATTCCTTGCATGTTGCAGATGGACCCACATCCCAGGACCTCTTGAAGGCTGATCAGGTGATCGTCTCTAGTGCGGACTGCATAGCCGTTCACGGATCCTTTATCCAGCCAGCGGGAATGATCTGCTCCGGACAGGGAAAGGAGTCAACATGCAGTGTAAGTGACCATCTAGTCTGAGTGAGCGAGTCTGGGTGACCATCGAGTTGTGATGGATAATTCTCTCGATCCAGCTTGAATGAGAACGCGATGCAACCGGGCTTTTCATGGCTCTTGCGATTGAATTCCATGCAACACTGATAATTCCTTGTGTCGCTACGCCGATGCACAAACCCGAAACTCAGCAATCATCTCCTCTACCGCGCGTTCACTTGTCCTTCAACTCTCTCGCAGGGTGACAGCGGCGGCCCACTGTGGGTGATGCAGAACGGTGAGCCAACCCTGGTGGGAGTCACATCCTGGTCGGTCGTTGCCTGCCAGATTGCCGGCTATCCTGACGGATTCGCCCGCGTCACCTACTACTACCCATGGATCATGGATGCCGTCGCCAAGCTGTCCTAAGTCCTAAGTCGTTAACACTTCGTCGCGCCTGACGTCATCGGCGCTTCGTGTCTAGTGATCATGACTCGGTATCATGCCTGTATCAAATTCTGATTCAATGAAGCAATGATTAAAATACCCTGGTTCACATCCATACACATTAATGTGATTATGATGATTTGATTTTTTTGGAATTAATGTGAATACCACAAAAATAAATTGGCTTTTCTGTGCAATTCTGTTTCGTTCAACTAATTGACTACTTTGCGTTAAAACACATTCAGATAGTTGACATGTCATTTTCTTTCACGCAACAAAAGCAGAAATTTCAGAAGATAAAGAGTGGAAACATGCGCGATTTCGTCTGTTCAGTCAGTTTACACGATCGCACAAATTTATTTACAAAAACGTTACAACAAAATGTACACAACGCTTCACCACCATTGGCCAGAAGCTGCCGAAAGGTCCTCATCATTGTCTATTGTATGCGCTTGAATTCCCAGCATTCCATAGTTGTATAGCCCGTGAAGTGGATGGGTTAGCATTAGCCTCTGCTCTGTATTGTCTCCTACATGAATGAAACAATCAGTGTGTTACATTACACAGTAAAGCTTCTGCTTGAAATTATACATGTCAGTGCAAAACTCTTTATACTTGAAAAAACAAGGGTTCATTGTGAGGTTACTCTCAGATTTAATTATTTTGGAAACAAAACACCAACTATATCTCAACTAATTTCACCAGACAATTAAAAATATGCAGGGAAAATATGAAGTCTAAATATGCATGTACTTTAGACTGAATACCATTTACACATTTGTAAAAACATAAGGCATTTCAATCATGCATCCAGTTATAAAATTCGAATGACATTAGGAAAAATTTAGTTCTGGCAAGAAACTGGAAACTACTTGCCTAGACTGCCAGCGCCTTCCCTCATTCCAAACCCTGCCAAATGAAGGCAGCCATGCAGAGCCAGTAGCTGTACTGTGATCAAACCTGGCTCCTACGCGGTTAGGATTCATTCTCTCCTTCTTAACCCTTGTCACTGAAGTGTAATTTAAATTCATACTTTGTTATCATTTTTCTATTCTATCAATTATTTTCATTTCACTATGCTTATATGACTATTTTTAGCAAAAAATTAAAATTAAATTCACATTGATATCTCCGAACCATTATTATATTATTATCTATGTTGTTAACATACAAAATAAATATTCATACAATAAAATGAATCAGAAATCTATAAACCCATAGTACATTACTTACGTACAGAGAAACCTTTAGAAATCTGCTAAAACCAGTATAATGGTTTAATATGCCAACTAGAACCTGACTGAAGTGTACTGTCTATTGAATTTGCATGAAATTCCTAAAGTTTCACGTAGAGACGACCCAATTACAGTGAAAAGCTATAATAATCGCCCGCAAGGAGCATCCACACTCACAATGCTGCTCGTAGTCAGCTAGACTGGGACCCGCCTGTACTATACCGCCGCTGCTGCTGCTGCCGTGCCTACAGTCAACGAACTGTCCTGCAGCCAGGGTGGCAACCCTCCAGAATGTACGTTTCCTTCACTCTCGAGAAAACTCTTCGTGGAAACATAAAGGCAACATGACTATGACTAAGGTACCATACAACAGTAGCTTTCGGCAAATTGTTAACCGTTGCATTACTTGGTCTCTGTAAAAGCTCTTCTTTTGAACTTATTTTGCTGTAAAATTCAGCACTAGATTACACTAATTTGCATTATGCATGCAGGGTAGATGTCTCGTGGACGTCTAGAAGGCATTAGAAGTGAGATATTTGTTGTCGTGTAATTGTGCCATTCCTTCAAGTGGCATAGCCATGGTGACCGGTGAGACATTTGTCTTTAAAACGGGATCCGACTACATGCTGGAAATCCTTGAAAACAATCTGGCAAATGTTTCAAGTAAATGTCTTTGAACCTATAGTGAATTTGCATAAATAAAATGTATGTGGCGTATGCACAGAAACTCTCCAAGTATTTTTAATTAATTTCTGTTCGATGCTTATTTACGCCTGCTACATATAGATGCCCTCTACTGTACGTTGTACACCACCTAAACCAGCCTGGATATCTCTTACATAAAGGGCGAGCCTGTTTTTGTGTCTGTCCTTCTGTCTATCTTCTGCCCCCCCGTAAGAGCTCACCCCCAACACCATATATATTCTTAATCAGCATGTCACGACGACCAAAGGCAAGGTCCAAAAAATAAATAAACAAAATAAAAAAGTTTAAAATTACAATTTAAAATTATTTATTATTTTTAAGAAATGTCCGCCGACGTGAGCCGCTATATACCCATCTTACTAATTCATATGCGCCGTTTACTGCACTCATACCATCTGACTGCATGTGAATTTGCATTTTTGACCGCTATTTTTCTAGCTATTGTCGACTATTTTTGATTAGTATCTTATTTAAACAATTTAGCTTCGATAGCGAGAGACATATAAGCGTCGTACACGACTTACTGCTGAAAAGGTAAACATGGCCCTCAAACTTGCTTGCTTATTTTTTTCGCAGGCACGAGCGCAACTTCGTATTTTCGATTTTTTCGTATTTATCTCCTACAATAAATCGCCGGATCTATCTGTTGTCTGTCTTTCTTGAGCACCAGTAAGAGCGTCACCCGTGACGGTATATTGGTCAATCAGCATGACGCGACGACCATTTTAGGCCAAAAACAATTTGCACAAAAACGCAAAAATAAGGGCAAAAAAACAAACAACAGATTTCCCCCAAAAAAATACTAGCGCAGCAGAAAAGTTAACAATAACAGCAATCCTAGCGCTCGACTATACACTGCAGCAGAAAAGTCGAGACGAATCCTAGAACAGCAATCCTATAGCGCTCAACTATAGTCAGGCTCAAAATCAGGCAATCGCATGAAATGCCGAAACGCAAGCAATAGCACAAAACGCATGAAATAGCAGAAAAGCAGTAACCCTAAAAAAATCCCGGGCATCGCCGGGTAGCCCAGCTAGTTGTCTATATGTGTCCGTTTTCGAACAATTTGCATAAAATATTCAATATAGCAAATAAAGGCAACTCATGAAGCTTACTGTTATGGCATAATAAACATAGGTATATATAGGTAACTCGAATTTAAATGTAACTGTAACTATGCAATACACGAATCATACTGTTATAAACTCACCTTAATAGAAACACGCGTAAGGCCATCTCCTTTAGCACTCGCTGTTCGTATCCTTTTCAAGTCTGAACCTATGGCCCCACCTAGTGGCATATTTTGTCTCTTGTGTTGGATATACCCACTCCGATGATGCTGCTGCTTAAACTGTGAAATTCAGGAAAATTGCAGGGCATGCTCGACATGGAAACATATTTCCAGAGACTTGCACATTTCCTTACGCGGCTACCTAGCGTTAACAATGCCAAATATTGTGCAGAGATGACATTACTCGTATAAAGTGACATGTCATGAAAAAGAAAAAAAGTTCAAAAAAAGTTCCAAACAGTTCATGGATAGCATTTTCATTCCTTTTGGAAAAACGATCATTAACCTGGATCGAACCTCAACACAAACAAACGCAATAAACCTAAACGTAATATATTTGCGATGATCGACTCTCTACGCAACTTTCCACTAGACAGACATAATAGTAAACCCTGTAGGTGCAACGTCACGATTGCAATCAGCAGCTCCAGCGAGCATGCTGAGAAAACGACACCAGCGTGGATACGGACAACACTGTCAATGTTGCACAGACATGGAGCAGTGCAAGAGAAGACTGACGTCAGCTGACAGACCTGTGCCACCGCCATCGCTGGTGAAACCTGCGATACCGTGTGATGACTCCGCCGTTCTTGCCACTCTATTTTCTGCACCTCCTAAAATAAGGCAAAAGAGGTCATGGGTACTACACAGTTGGTCTCATTAAAGGACAAAATTCGATGACAGCTACCTCGTAATAAGTTAGTCGAGTCTTTCAGAACTGTTGTTTTAAACACGTGCAATGAGGAGAGGTGAAAGTGAGTACCACAGATATAAAATTATAATTATTATTATTAAATCTTTATTGCATAGAATTCAAATATAAATACATGTTGTGAAGACGTAACATGTCTTTTTCACAAAGAAAAAATGTGATAGATGATCTGAGTCTTAATTATTTTTGTACTGGCAACTGATTCTTCACACACCTACACCGTACATATACCTGAATATGCTGCTTGCACTTTGCGGACTGATATTGATCCACTGCTGTTTGGAATTGTTCTTCAAATCTAAGACAAAATGGTTGAAAATATTACCCAACTTGAAGAAACATGTTTAGAATAGACAAGAAATATGCTTTCAAGTCAACACACCTATCCTACCAATATTTTACAGACATTTTTTGCTATTTTATCAGCAGCTACTGTTTGATAACGTAGCACCCATACCACACCCTGGAATGGGTATTAGCAGACTGTGATGAATATCATACTTCTCTTGTTACATGTGCACTTATTATGTGCTACTGTGACAGTCTACTAATCACCGTGAGTAGGTTTCAGCAGAGATCCTGTATTTTTCCTTCATTTCCTTATTTAGCTTGTTCTCCCAGAAAAACGCATTGATTTCCTTATCGTGATCCTCCCTGAATCAAAGCAATTAAACGTCAATTACTTTGATGTGCTATATGCTATAGGAACTGTTTGATTCTATTAGTAATAGTATAAAATGTTTTAGTAAATTTACACTGCTATTTATCTTTAGCACCAATCTAACTTGTCTTACTCGGTGAGATGCTTGAGCAATCCAGCATTTATAATCGTCACTCCGCTATCCACCCTAACATGACGTTCATACTCGGCTTTGCAAAAATAACACCAGAAGTGCATATCTCCATTCCAGTGTAGACTCTCTACTTGTGGTTTCTCTATAGCAGCTTTTGCTTCATTAATCTGAAAAAAATTAACAATTACACTTGATATAACATTAGCAATATGCATTTTTATGGCATGACGATTGATATTGCAATATATCAAGAGACACGACTCTCATGGACATACATAAATGGCTCTCTGAAGTCACTGCTGACTTTAGGATACTGATGCAAAACAAAACCACAAATTAATGCCATTGACCTGAAACACTCTCTGATTATGCACACACCAGGAGTTCCTTATAACAGCTAGCTCTACCCATGTAGCATTGCTCAATTTTAAGGGGTTTTTTGGGTTGTCCGGAGGACAACCAAGAGAGTAGCATATGGTTGTCCCTCAAGAGTTGGTCGTCCGGATATGATTTAAACATGTGCTGCATGCACTCTGCTCACGTGATGCTCAGTGCTGTAAAGCAAAAGGCCTAATCATGTACATTTTGTACCAGGAGCGTATAATGACAAAGGAGTAAGACAGCGATTTGGTACTGATTTCACTA